AATCAACAAAAACATTAAACTAAACAAATGTGTTTGGTGAAACAGTTCTTCAAATATTATAAGAAATGTAAAACAGATCTACATTTATAATGTGCTGGATATGGAGAGTCTCCGATTTACTAACTACGAAAGGAGAGATTTGTAAAACTGACAATGTAAAGATATTTGTAATATGAAAAGTGCAGAAGGCACTTGAATCGATGTAGACAATGCTGCCAAGAAGTGCAAGTACAGGATTCCTGCAGTTGAAGGTCAGAGGATTAGAATATCAGAACATAGAAGATATGGTGGAGGGATTAGTGGAGGATATGATGGATAATATCGTGACTATGGAAGATATCAGGGATAAATAAAGGTTATAAACATCAACAGTTTAATGTAAGGCTGTATAAACATTAATTGATATAAACTACATTGTTAAAAAACAACAACTCTTCATCACTTTAATATTAGTGTGTTTAAAAGTAACTGGTTTTATTAATTATTTACAGAAACTCAGCCACCATTACAGAATAATTCTGGATGGAGTTGCTGTGTCAGCAAGTTTAACATTAGTTGTTCTGTTCTACTTTTATTAGTTTGGGAAGAGAACGTCGATCATCTTATATATGATTATACTATATTCTGGAATGTTTGTGGAGGTCACGTGCCCTGTACTCCAATAAGATTAATAGATAGTTTAATAAAATATTATCAGCGTAACGTTACAGTATTTTAGAATTAGCTACTTTAAGTAACGTAACTTGATAAAAGTTTGGTTGTGATATTCAGAATATCACAGCCAAAACAATAACGATACCATCACTTTTTATTATATGACCAACAGTTATTAATAAGTTACATCAGTATTTAACTTTATGTATCGTCTTCTGTTGACAATAGAGATTTAAACAACTGAACACAAAGGTGTCGACCTGCATCTCTGTTAATAATAGTTGAATTTATTGATGTGTTTTAAAAATTATGTTCTGTTTGATTATTCCAACAATTAATATTCTTGTTAACTTGGTTATGGTATCTTGTAAATAAGAACAGTTGTGGATATTAAAGACTTGTGTAAGCTGTAATAATGTATATACTGTGTTGTGTGGTACGTTATAAGCATTTCGTATTTGTATTAATTACTGTGTTTACACTTTAATTATTTTCTCTTTACATGCAGATAATCAGACCAGGAATTTACAAGAGACTAAACATCTTGGATTATGTATTTTACAAGTAATGTTTACAGAAACTTGTTATATCTGGTGTAGGTTTTATTTTGTAAAGTAGAATACTAGACAACCCATAGAATAGTTTTACAGTCAATAAACTGTAAGTGAATAAACAGTTGTATACTTCAGTCTGTAATGTTTACAGTTAAGTCAAAGAAAAATACACAGAAAACAACGATACAAAGTCTGATAAAAATAACATTTCATACCAGGGAGTCAGGTCACAGTACTAACGTAGAAAAGTAATTAACTTCTGATCGTGCTTACAAATATTAAACATAGAATATTTCTGTTAATACGAGTCGAACAGCCTGATGAATAATTTAAACTATTTTTTGAGATACTGTCAGCTATACACATTACGTCATTTTACAAACTGGTTTTAAATGTTTTTTCACTCACTCAGAAATCACTCAGTTCATAATAAACCTGGTAAATCAAAACAAAGAGATCATGTGAAGTGATCGAATCATCAGGAAGTTGTACGATGTGGTGTTTTGTTCTTATGACGAACAATTTTCTATAAACGTGTAGTATTTCAATGCTTTTTCTGAATTTATTCAGTTGGTTCACCTGGCCATAGTTAAACAGTGAACGATCGTTTAAAAAGATCTATTATAGTAGATGCCAGTAGAGCTATTCATCTGTTAACAGTGCTTGTTTTCGCTATGGCACTTTTTACAAAACCTTTTTTTGTACATCTTAATTAAGAACG